ATATGCTAAAATTCAAATACATATTTTGTTCTTTGAATTAAAGATCCAATACCTTGCGATATTTATGAAAGCCTTATTGGAATTCAGTTGTGCTACAGTGCAAAGAAAAAAAAACATTACCAAAATAATCACGGAAATGAACATTTCAAGCTGTAATATGCTTCTTTAATTGAAACTGGTTTTGAGTTTATATTAGTTCAAGTAGGTAGCTGCGTCAGCATGCGTAGGCTGCAAAGGAACAAGTAAAGGTTTATTCCATGCTGAAAAGAGTAGAAAGGAAACAAGACATTTCGACTGCTAAGGCCTCACAGCCAAAACATTGTGTTTCTTTTCTTCTCTTCTCAGCATTGAGTTATATTTACCAATTCAATGCTTTTTGAGACATAATGGTTTATGACATAAATGAATAGTTACAAAACAGTGTATGTGAAGTAATAAGGCAACCCCTAGTTTATGTAGCCCAATTAAGCGTGAAATTAGAATCGGGTGGTTAATTGGGAAACAAGTAAGCAAGGACTGAGTTTGGGCAGCCTGTCATATATAATGTTCAGACACTCTCATCATACAGTATCTTGGAAACGTCATGTCACAATCAAAAGAGACTTCAGAGGATCTCAGTAAAAGATTAGCTGATGGTCATCAGTATAGAGAGGGATGCAAAACCATTTCCAAACATTTGTGGTTCCATCCATCCTGTGTCAGATGAATGTGAAAGACGAACCTGTGGAAAGAGGAAAAAGACTGGAAACTGTTCAAACGAAGTAAGTATCGCGGTTTGGGGCTGCGTTGCGGCCTGAGGATCCAGGCTGTTTACCATAAATTTGGCATTGTTTCAACAGAGAAAAATGCCAGGCCATCCATCAGTCAGCTGATGCAGAGTTGAAAGTAGACCATACAGCAAGACAATTATACTAAACATGCACGCAGATCTACAACAGAATGGCTAGCGAGAAAGAGATCTTGCATTTTGGATCGGCCAAAGCCTGGACCTAAACTGCATTGATATGTTATAGATGGCAAAATTTCATCAACTGGAAGAAATTCTATAAGGAAGAAAGGACCAAAATTCCTAAAAGCCAATGCGAGAGATTAATAAACAGTTACAGTAAATCTCTAGTAGAAGTCATTGGTGCTCAAGAAGGTGCCACCAGTTTCTGAAAATTAAAGGATCGCATTCTTATCTATAAGAGGATATTTACAGGTCAATCAGTTGTTGTTGTTACACATTCAACTAGATTATCTTAATCTCTTTTTAAAAAATTTGTGAAGATGTAAATACCTTTTAGTTCTAAACTATATAAGAATACAACCTGAGATTCACAATCTGGGGGGTCGACAACGTTTTCTCAGCACTGTTTTCAAATTATAAGGAGCGGACAAATCTAGATTTATTTCACTTCAGTAATGGTTTCACTTGCTAAGGTTCTGTCACACAGTCTATTTTGTGTTCACCTGCTCATCGCAAATGAATGGAATAGTTTTAATTCAGATTTTTTTTTCATATGTTATTGGTAATATAAAAACCCTGACCAAAACTGCCACACTGGGGGAGAGCACTAAAATAATAAACCTATCCCAGACCTATAATAACACACCTTATCTTTAAGTTATGATGATCTGTGTTATTTTTGTGGCTGTCATTTTTTTAAATCAATAAAAATCCAAAGCTGTTCAGAGGCAGCAGTGAATTTTTAAAAACTATGAACTATGACAATTATTTATAAAAAACAGAAACAGATTACGTTTTTCATTGCACTATTCATAGGAGAATTAGTAAGAGTCTCTCCGTATGGGTGTCCCATCAAGAAGGTATTATTATTTTCTAGTGACACATGAAGAAGGCTCCATGGCTGAAATGTTGTGTTCTCTTTCTTCTTTTTTTTCTGCATGGAATAAACCTATTACTTGTTCCTTTGCATTATTATTTTCAACCCACTGAAGCTAAGCAGGTGTGAGCCTGGTCAGTACCTGGATGGGGAGACCTCCTGGGAAAAACTAAGGTTGCTGCTGGAAGAGGTGTTAGTGGGGCCAGCAGGGAGCGCTCACCCTGCAGTCCATGTGGGTTCTAATGCCCCAGTGTAGTGATGGGGACACTATACTGTAAACAGGCGCCGTCCTTCGGATGAGACGTAAAACAGAAGTCCTGAGTCTCTGTGGTTATTAAAAATCCCAGGGCGTTTCTCGAAAAGAGTAAGGATGTAACCCCGTCGTCCTGGCCAAATTTCCCATTGGTCCTTACCAATCATGGCCTCCTAATAATCCCCCTCTATGAATTGGCTTCATTACTCTGCTCTCCTCCCCACTGATAGCTGATGTGTGGTGAGCGTTCTGGCGCACTATGGCTGCCGTCGCATCCATTGGTGAACCTAACAGGAGCTGTACATCTCAGGAATCTTAAAGTGTCAGAAATCTGAATTTGAAGAATTTGGGAAACCAGCCCCACTGATACAAGGCCCTGTATCTGTACCTTATTAGACTTATGACAGTCATAGTGATCTTAATGGTGTCGAGGAATGCAGCACAAGTACAGCAAAACCTAAGAAAGACTGGATATTTCAACATGAAATTGGCTCATATTTAATGATAAAATGGGAATGGCTTTATTAAAAATTAGAATACAAAAGGAAATGCATTTATCAAGAATGGATGGGCCGAGTTTTGTCATATGATTGAAAGGTTTTGAAAGAATGAATGTGTCTGAAGACCTACAGAACGTATGTGTAATGATACGGTCTGATGAGAAAAAGACAATGCTCATCCATGCCCCATATTCACAGAGATTCTGATTGATTGGACACTGAAGACACCATAAACACCTTCATTAGCAGGAGCACAACCTGGAGGCACATATAGTTCGTTAACCAGTTCTTACTTTTACTATTCCCTTCATTAACATAAGAAATGCTTCAATTTTTCTCTTAAAGTGTGAGAGTGGAGCAGAAAAAAGCTTGATGAAAACAGTCATATCATTTTCAAAGACTGGCACTCATGCTCAGGAGAAGGGTCGTGAGAAGAGGTGTTGTGAGAGAGAAACCTACTTCAAAAAGACGCTTCTGGTAGGAGACCAAAATCAGTCCAGGTTGAGCACTAAAAAGACCAGACTCTCCTCCTGGCTTTAAGTAAGGAATTTATTACCTTGCATTTGGAGAAATACTGATTTTTCTCATGGAATCCATAAGCTAGGGAAGGTTTCCTGTTGAGTGATGCACTGTTTTGAATAGGGAAACACAGTAGGTCAATATTTGTTTAGTATCCAATACAGACCCTTTTATTTTGTAAGACACAGGATCCCTCTTTTTCCTAATGTAATGTTTATATATCAGTTATAAGACAAACTCTGTGTCTGTAGAAGGCAGGAACAGGGACTGTTTAACCTGGTTATTATTTTATTACAAAGACATGCTTCTAATTTCTAAGCCTGAGTTATGTTCAGTATTCTCTGGCTGCAGTGGCTGTAATTGTTAATTTTATAATTTGCTTGCATTGTAAGTTTATTTTGATAATGGTGTATAATTCTTGTTTTGTAACTTTAACACACCAAATGTGCAAGATTATTCTTAACCAAGTCTTTGCACAGCTGTAGCTTGTGACCACTTTAGCTATTTGACTGCACTTTTGACAGACCTTTTCTCCATCTTATGCGTTAACATTGCAGGTGAACCATCGTAAGGTATCTCTCTTCCAGAATATTTTTTTTAGCAAGGAGACACAAGATCCATCTCAATAATAATGTAATTTTGTCTAAGACAGGTAAAAAAATTCAATCCTGATTCACATTGTTTTGCATGCTGAAGACAGGCCATATTTGTGAATATTAGGATTTAAGCCATGTGGAAATTACCTTCCGTCACTTTGTATGCACTGCATAAAATATATTTAGTGAATGAGCCCTTGGAGTAGGATTTTAACATGCGCTGTGGGAACTACTGTATCCTGACATTTTTAAATTGACACTATTTGTGTTTTTTTGAAAAATGATAAAAGGTATCTTCCACTGAATAAATGTAAGGTTTCAGAACAAGTGAGCATGGGCTTTTAGCTTTGCAATTTATCGACTTAATTTTGAGCTTCTGTTCACTTAAGTGAATCAATTAAAATAATCCGCACAAAGCTGCTTTTACATAAACAGTAAAAGTTAAATGGCTCATTTAGATGGGTTGTTACAGTATATTTATAGCTGTTTTCTTACAGTTCTGTTTTTTCTGCAATGTTGATTTCATACAGTGTGTGTAATTTGTTTATAAGTCATTTCTTTTTTAAACAATACAAATTAAGTGCTCAGATGTCTTCTACTTGGGACCCCAGAGCTTTGCCTAGCTGAGTGTCTGGGCACCTCAGCTGCTGGCCTTGGCTGTTGCAAGGGTAATACTAGTAATAATAGTAATACTGTACTTGCCCATCTTCTGTCAGATTTTCCTTTTTTGTAATCTGTGTTTTTAATTTGTGCAGTTACCTGTGTCTGACATGACCTGGGTTATTGAACGTTCTGTCAATACATCTAGTTTACAAATGACTGTTCTTATTTATTGATAAGATTCTAATCCCACTCCTCTAATATTTGTAAATACTGATTTATACAAACACGATTTATGCAGGCTTGAACAGAAAAATGAAAGCAGGTCCTAACTATGCATTTTCTCAAGGTGGTCTTTCAAAAATGTTTATATCTGAGTGTATCAGATAAAAAGAGCTGCTTTGTTATCTTTGAAGCCCAGGCTGAAATTGAGAGCTCTTTCCTATGGAATTTATCAAAGATGGAAAAAGTATGTCCTGCTGTATCAGCTCAATTTCTCAGTTGGAAAGATTTCCTGGCTTTCTGTAGCATGTGTACATATTCAAACATGATTGAAAAAGAGGGTTTTATTTTGTAAGCTTTGATGGGGTGGTATGATACTATATAGAGGGCAGTGTATGCTTTTGATCACAAAAGTCTATGTACAGTAGCTGTGGTAGAAATGGCTATCTGCTGCTCTGTACAGTATGTGTGTTTATATTTGAAGAATGCCATGATGACCTTTGAGGAGGAGAAGATGCACATGGCCTGTGAAGACCTGAAGACGACAGAGAAGTTGTGTGAGAGTGACGATACCGGAGTCATTGAGACAATCAAGAACAAGATCAAGCGGAATGTGAGTTGTAGCTGTTGACTGTTACCCAGACAAACAACAACATTGGTCTGTAACCCAAGGAGTGAAACCAGTTCCTTTAGAGTTACAAATGACATGTAAGCCTTCTGCCAATGATAATAATGTGATTAGCATTTGCACCTTTAATAAAATAGACATTGTGGAAGATTTAATTAAGTCTCTTTAGATAATTGCTGTTCCAGGATGTGATGGATCTCTGTACAGTGGCTGGACAGCATGGACATCTTCAACAGTCTTTCCCTACTTTTGAGGATGGGTGTGCTTATTCAGTGCATTGTTAAGCACTGTTTCCCCTGTGTTGTCTCTACAGTTCCTTGGGACATTTCTGTCAGAGAACTGGTACTCAGTTACTAACGGCAACAGTCTTGAAGTTCTAAACTTCTCATTGACAAATGTTCATCACTGTTGTGTAGGTTTTATGATCTGAAGCAATGGATGTATGTGCTGTGCCATCACTAGACACTCACGAGCCCAGAGAGGATTTCAGGAGGGTGTTTAAATGACATTTTCATGCTATCTGTATACTAGTTCTAGTTCTTACTATTTCATTTGGCTTTGTTGTCATCCATTGCTGCCTTGATGTACCTGCGTAATTGTTCCTTGTACTACACACATGCAGTACGTCCACTGCAGCGTCCCTGGTCATGACCATACCTTTGCTTTTCCAGACTGACTCCCAGAGATCCACTTCCTCAGTGGTTGATCGCCTTCAGAGACAGATTATTGTAGCAGACTGCCAGGTGTACCTGGCCGTTCTCTCCTTTGTCAAACAAGAGCTCTCAGGTTTGCTGATTTTTTTTTTAAATTTATTGCTTAAAAACCCAAACTACTAAAGAGTAATTACTGACACACGTTTCTAATCTTTGGAAGTCTCCATGAAGGACTGCACATTGTGCTGCTCTGTGTCCCTTGACAGACCCCGAATGTTTGAAATAAACGTTGCTTGACAAACAGAAGTGATGCACCCCGTTAGAACATAAGAACATTTACAAACGAGAGGAGGCTATTCAGCTCATCAGGCCCGTTTGGTAGTTAGTGCTTAATTAAATAGATAGGTAGATAAGACTTTATTTATCCTGAAGGGATCAGGATAGACAAAAAAATTAGAATATGTACAGTAATACAAAATAAATATGAAATAAAATAAATAAATGAAAATAAATACATAGGTGTGTGCAAAATATGATCATAGTCACTGTAAAAGAAATAAAATATGTGCAAAATGTGCAAAGGTATATACAGATTGAGTGTCCAAAAAGTACAATGGAGCAACATGCTGTCCATAGACGAGCAAATGAAGAACCAACAGTCCTAGCCAAGGGCAGCGTTATACACCCTGACAGCTGCCGGGAGGAAAGACCGTAGCTGGTGCAGTCTGTTGCTAAAAGTGCTCCGCAGCCCAATAACTGTCCCATGAAACGGATGAGAGGCATTGTTCATGATGGCTGTGAGCTTGGTCAGCATTCTCCTCTCAGCCACCACCTCCACGGGGTCAAGGCTCAGCCCCAACACAGAGCCAGCCTTCTTGATTTGAAGTTTATTGAGCCTATTTGCATCTCTTGTCATGATGCTGCTGCCCCAGCACACAACAGCGTAGAAGATGGCCGCTGCCACCACTGATTCATAACAAATGTGTAGCAATGTTCCACACACACCAAAGGACCTGAGCCTCCTAAGAAAAGAGACGGCTCTTACCTTTCTTGTACAGAGGATCAGTGTTACCAGACCACTCCATCTTATCATCCAGGTGTACCCCTAAGTACTTGTAGGACTGCACCCCCTCTATGTATATGGCCAGCAACCATATCACCCTGCAACTCACAACTGGCAACCCACTGAAGCTAAGCAAGTGTGAGCCTGGTCAGTACCTGGATGTGAGACCTCCTGGGAAAAACTAAGGTTGCTGCTGGAAGAGGTGTTAGTGGGGCCAGCAGGGGGTGCTCACCCTGCGGTCCATGTGGGTCCTAATGCC